AAATGGAGAGAGAAAAGTAGAAAGTCAAAACTCAAATGTGTATTTTATTGATAATCAAGACCCGTACTTATTTGGTTCAAAATGAGAGTTACAACTGGAATGAAATATACTCTTTAAATTAGATAAAACTTATTTATCCATGATGATAATACTACATAATCATCAATATTTATCTTATAGTTTCACAACACTCCCTTTTTATGATTATTTGCACAATAACTATATCATTGAAACATTGTTTGGCAAAACCTTGATGGGGAAACAAATGAAAAAAGAATACAAATAATTCGGAGAAATAAAATGTTGTTTCGTTAAAACCTTGTCAGAAAATCAGTGGGATAAAACTTGATCGACGGGAAAAGAATACACTCTCCTGATTTCAATGCTCGTATCAATTCATCATTATCTTGTATGTCAATGTTTTGACTATTGCAGTTTTTTTGTGAAATACGATTCGTGTTGTCTTGCATAATTTTCAAATAATACATTCTTCATACAAGATATTTATTAATTTTTAATAACTGTAGTAACATGTTGATTCGAAAAATAGTTCTTATCGATCTCTTCGAGAGTTTCATGCATATCAGAGTATTATTTTGAGGGTAAGTCTCTTATATGTCATGGACAATCATTACACAAAAAAAATGCATTCTCCCCCTCATGATAATAACACTCGAATTATATGCTTCGGACATAAAATCCTTCAAGAATAATATTAAACCCATACAAGATAAGTTTGCTATACTCACATTTATTACATTTATATCGAATTTCATGCATGTCAGACTAATAAAATAGAGACTTGTGATTACATTTACTACATGATAATTTATCTATTCAAGTTAATTAATTTTTTTTTAAAACTCACCATCATTCCAGGTAATTTCCTTCAAACATTTTGCAGAACTTTCTTCAATTATTAATCGTGTATTCAACCAAATTTTGACTAAATTTTGTGCAGAAAAATAAAGGTTCTTCCTCTAAATTAAAAATAAAGGAAACTTCCCGGTACGAAAGATTTTTTTATTTTTTTGAGCACTTTAGGTTTGAAAGAATAAGTTAGGTGTTAAAGGTGATGTTTTGTCAAATTTGTCATGGAAAAATTAGCATTTTGACGGAATTGTACGAAAGGACATCTTCATTCTCACACATTTAATGGTTAAGATTCGGACATTGCTCTTCACAGTCTTCAAGGAACTAACGATTTAAGAAAGGAAACTATATTATAATATTGAAGATATCTAAATTTATACTTTGTTTAACATATCACAGATTCACAGAATTCATGTGGGGCCTGAGACAAGATAAGTTTGCTATACTCACATGTATTACATTTATATCGAATTTCATGCATGTCAGACTAATAAAATAGAGACTTGTGATTACATTTACTACATGATAATTTATCTATTTACACAAGTTTTTGCGAAATTCATTATGTAAAGAGTCGTACATTTTAGATTACAATTTTATTTTTTCTATTTTTATTTCACATAAATATACACCTTTAGGTGTTTGGACTGTAGATCCAAAAACTTAAGGTTTCTATAGTAAATTCAGTTTGAATTCTCAATTTTGCATCCCAACGTACTTATAGATTAATTTTTCCTCACAAACCTCATGCAATAAAATTTTAATGGAGGAAAGAAATTATTATGTTATAAGACATATATGGAAGTTCCATCATAATATTCAAGTAAACGGTAGACATAGAAAATTTTCAAAATTGAGGGCAAGACATGGAATATTCTAATTGAGTGCATAAAAGAATTCATGTTGATAACGTGTTATAAAATTAAAGGAATAAAAAGGAAATATAGAGAATAAATAGGGAGAGAAAGGTAGAAAGTCAAAATTCAAATGTATATTTTATTGATAATCAAAACTCGTACATGTGGGGTTCAAAATGAGAGTTACAATTGAAATGAAATAAACTCTCTAAATTAGATAAGATTTATCTATACACGATGATAATATTGGATACACATCAATATTATATTATAGTTTCTCAACATGTTCCATATTATAAATATGAATTTTAGATGTAAAATTGGTATTTGAATATCGAAAACTTAGCAAAAGAATAATTTAAGCATGTTGAAAGAGATGAGCACAAACCAAGGAAGCAATGTTTGGCCTTGATATACAGTAGTAAATATCAATGGTTTATTTAAAAGGAAATGGCCTTGCTATGGGTACATCACTCCTTACACAAGGGGTGACATAATGGCGCCTCCTCATTGGAGGGGCGCCTCGGCCCCACATGTGGTCCTGCTATTTTTTGATTTGGTTACCTCATATGATTCAATACAACAAGAACAACCAAAAGAAGTAAGTCACTTACAAGCCCAGGAGCAATTTGAAGAGATCAACTAATGTGTTCCAATCAAGCAATTATTGATCTTGAAACCCTATATGAGCAGCGAATAGGTGACAGAGCCAAAGTTATAGTTTGGAGGAGCATTACGATATTTGTTGAAACTACACTATCGAAGGCGTATGATAGATGACACGGAGAGTGGCACTAGAAAAAATAATGATAAAGCTATTTATTTTATTCCTAAACTTGTTAAGAGAGCACAAAAGTAATTAATTTTGGATTAACCTTGTATAAAATACAAATAAAATAGTTAAAAAAAAAATAGAAAATGGAATTAAAAACATTTTCTTTAAAACAATCAAGTTTTGATTATACAAAACCAAAAAACTTGACTTTTTCTTTAAATGCGACCAATTGCACTTGCCCCTGTTTGGTACACATATTTTCAAAATACATTTCCAATCACACATTTTTCAATAAAATAATATTTTCCATCATATCAATAATTTTTCCTTACTTTTTAACCACATATTTTGCATCGTATCACTATTTAAAATACTTTTTTTCTCAATAATATCAATCAAACACACTTTCACCATTTAAATAAGTGAAAGTGTTATGCACATCAATACGAAAATAAAGAAACTAAGTACAGAAAAATTATATAGAGTACACAATTCTCTGTTCAAGTTAATTAAATTTTTTTTAATAAAACTCACCATCATTCCAGGTAATTTCCTTCAAACATTTTGCAGAACTTTCTTCAATTATTAATCGTGTATTCAACCAAATTTTGATTAAATTTTGTGCAGAAAAATAAAGGTTCTTCCTCTAAATTAAAAATAAAGGAAACTTCCCGGCACGAAAGATTTTATTATTTTTTTGAGCACTTTAGGGCCCTATTTGGGAGAAATTTTAATCAAGATTTCAATCAAAATTATAGTCGTTAACTATCAAATCAGCCACCATTTTGACTTTCTCTCTCACAGGTGGGCCCACAAGTTGACTATAACGGCTATAATTTTGATTAAAATCCCACAAAAATTGCTCCCAAACACGCTCTAGGTTTGAAAGAATAAGTTAGGTGTTAAAGGTGATGTTTTGTCAAATTTGTCATGGAAAAATTAGCATTTTGACGGAATTGTATGAAAGGACATCTTCATTCTCACACATTTAATGGTTAAGATTCGAACATTACTGTTCACAGTCTTCAAGGAACTAACGATTTAAGAAAGGAAACTATATTATAATATTGAAGATATCTAAATTTATACTTTGTTTAACATATCACAGAATTCATGTGGGGCCTGAGACTCCCTTGTCCGTTAAGTGGGAATATCACACAAAATCTTAAAAAATCGAGGACGCGAATGTCAAAAACGAAAAGATTAACAACATGACTAACACCTATAAAATTTGAGAAGAATTTGTCTTCTTGTACGCCAAGTTACAATAGGAGGCCCGCTTCTTGGTGTACATCTCCCCACAATAGGGGGGCCCGCTTCGAGGAAAGAAAAACGAGCCCTCTTATTGTGAGGAGACTATCAAAGCTAGATATACACGGCTCATTTGAGAATTTGCTTTGCTAGGACCACCTTGACAGTGTAGCAGAGCTCAAAAAAATTCAATATTATTGATGACACGGCACACGTGATATGTTGTTCTTAGACAACCTTTTTTTTTAAAAAAAAGAAAATTATCTTTTCAATCAATACTTTTTGTCACCTAACATTGTACAAGTAGATTTATCTAAGAAATTTGTTCTTTATGAAATCACTTGGTAACTGGTACGATATAGTAGTGCAAATGTCTCCATAGGAGATGAGCAATGGCAAAAAAGCTCGCTGACTCGAGCGGCTCGGGCTCGGGCTCGGCCAGGAAAAAGTCCGAGCTGGGCCCAACTCGGGCTCAGTGTCAAGCCCCATTTTGGGGCGTCGGCTTGAGCTCGAGCTGGCCCGTGGCTCGTCACCGGCTCATGACTAAGTAATATAAAAAAATAATAATTTATTTTTTAATTTTTCTTTTAAGTTTAAATGTTTTTTAAATATATTAATATTTAGTTATTATTTAAATATATTAATATTTAGTTATTATTTATAACACATATATATGGCACAAATTTTAAATAGATTATAAAAAATTATAGATTTATAATGAATTTTCTTTTAAAAAAAGGGGTAGGGTCAGCTCGGTTGGCCCGCTAAGGCTCAAGCCGAAAGTTCGGGCAGAGCCTCATTTTTTTGGCCGAGCAAAACTCTGGCCTAAAAAAGCTCGGACCTTTTGCTCGAGCTTGAGATCAACTCGTAGCTCGGTTCGACTCGACTCGTTGACATCGCTAGCCCTCTCTTTCAATTGTCAAATGGAGATAATTGAATTTCAACTACCCAGCAGTACAAATAACACGGAAAAAATTAATTCCTCGAAGAACAAGAACTACATACAATTTTCTTTAGACAATTTACTGACCAAAAAGGAAAAAAAAGGGGAACTCGTGAAAAAAATTGAATATTTTATTAACTAAACAACGTACAAAGAAAACAATAAACCATCATAACAGCCGTCCTAAAACAAACTATTCTCTTTATATCTATACTTTGCCCACTTTTCCTCTTAATACTATTTTCTTTATGTACAACTGAAAATTTCAACTTACTACCTAAATGACAAGGTTGTGTCATTTTCACATGATGAAGCAAGCATTAGGATTTTCATCGCTGAACATTTGATCAGTTTCGTGCAAGTAAGTCGGTGGCGGCGGCCCTGGTGCATAATGTGCCGCATGATCAGTATAAGCATAATCTTGGTGGTGGTACATTGGTACACCATAGCCTTGATTTGCATAACTTTGATTGTACATAGGCACAGCATAGTGTGTTTCTGGATTGTACCCAGGGAACTCCATTTTGTTGATCTCGACTTTCTTCTCCTCACTTTTGCTTCCTTCTCCACCACCGGTGGCGGCTTTGGCATCCTCTTTCTTCTCGCCACCACCGCCTTCTTTCTCCTTCTTGTCTCCGCTGCCTTCAGCTTTCTTTGGAGGGATAATTTCTACCCCCCTCTGTAGTTTCTCTTTCAAGTACACAGTGAGATGCTTCACGTCCATTGTCCCAATAACTGTTACCAAATCCTTTTGTAAATCCGTTGATACTGAGTTTACCCCTGTTGAACAAGACAAAATATATCCTCGTTACAATCATTAATGAGAAAAAATACAATTAATGAAGACAAGAATCTAGAAGACAAAAGCAAATTTACTGAAACAATATTAAATTTGTTGATGCGTAAACAAAGTTGATTAAGATGATTAATTAAATCTAGAATAGTTAGACCAACTCACCATCAATATTTTTTGATATGGTCCGTTTTATCTTATGTGCGCATCCGTCACAGTGCAGTTTAATCTTCATAACCACCGTACTCGCCACGGGCTAAACAACCACCACATAATAAATATAATTCAATCAAATTAAAAAAAAATCAAGTAATTGACATATTACTTAAATTGAAGTCAATGGGCAGAGCCCTAAAATAATACCTCTTTTGGTTTTTTATCCTCGGTCTTCTTTTCTTCTGCTTTCTTTTCAGATTTTTCCTCCGACTTCTTGTCACCACCACCACCACCACCACCATCCTTCTTCGACTGAGGCGAAACTAGCATTACCTTCTTCTTTGTCTTGTATTCAACTCTCTCGTGGAGCCATGAGGGATCCACCTTCCCCGTCACTGTCAGTTTGCCGTTTTCCCAGTCTGCTTTCACATTCTCAACACCTTCAAAATTGGACCACAGCAAAAAAAATAAAATGTTAGATCCCATTCACACTAAAGTCTAATAACTTAATTATCACCATTAAAATTACAAGAAACGTTGAAGTTGGCACTGATATTGACTTGATGGTGTAACGATAAATTTTGTTGGAGAATTTGACCGGGAAATGTGGATCTAACGATACAGAGAACAGAAAAGCATGTAGCCACCTAATATTGTGTTTATTACCTTATTATGATTTTTCATAGAAAAATGCCTAATGTCAATTCAACGCATTAGAAAAGGAGTCCTCAAATCAAAGTAAACACTGTATGTCGTAATTACAAGAACTTAATTGTAGAATGAACGGAAAGTAATCGACTGAACAAACTGTTTGAGAAATAGGATTCATGTAATTGACTCAAATTTTTGAGTTAATTTGAATTATGAGTGCAACAATTAGATTATGCAAATTATCTGTTTCTGTTGAAAATGGGACTTGGAATTGATTTCATACTTAACGGATCACAAATAATTAATTTCCAGTCCAGTTAATTTGTTTGCCAAATGAGTACTGCAGCCAAATTTTGTCACCGACTCAATTTTACACAAAAAAAATAAATTATTTCCAGTACCTTCAAAATGACGAACGATGCGTTTGACTTTCTTCGCACAGCCTTCGCAATGCAAGTCCAGCTTCAACACGACGGTGGTGGAGCCGTCGTCTTTCTTTCCGCCACCGCCGTCGGCCGCCTTCTTCTCACCATCATTCTTTTTCTCATTTTTCTGAAACAAAACCGAACAAACTCGTAAACTATTGAATAAAACTATCATTTTTCTGTATACATACATGATTATAGGAATTTGAACTAACGAATGCTCACGAAAATTAATTAATTTAGGAGGAACATGAGGAGATAATAATTACCTCACCCATTCGATGTGATCTTGGAGAAGTAGAAGTTTCTTATGGGATTATTGTATAATTACAACACAATTGGAATGATTTGAAGAGAGAAAATGGAGGCAACTGCCTATATATATAGAAATCTGGAGAGAGAATGAATTATGTATGTATATGCGTGTGTGTATGCGTATACATGCCGCATGCGGATGGCATGGAATAAAAGGACGCCGGACTAGACTACCGGTTTTATGAGGGACCGGTTTTATTTACGTGATAGACCAGCTAACTTTGACCAAGTGAAATGACCAAACTGCCCTCTTACTATAATCCAAAAGAGTAATGCTATTTAACCCCACTGAAGTTACAACCACAGTCTAGGAGGTGTTAATGTGACCATCTAATTTCACCTTTCACTTAGCCTATCATTTAGAACCACATAAACCGAGGTTACAATCCCACCGGGGATTAATAGCATTATTCAATCCAAAATGATTAGGTGGTATGATACTAAGTTCGGCATATATACACAATTTACGAATGTCCAAAACTATAATGTTCCAAACCAATGCATAATGTAGTATGATGATAAACAAAATAATGCAATGATTTTGACATTTTTTTTTTTTTGGGATTCTTGATAATTCTAATATAATCTTCGATACTATTTTAGTATTTGTTTGTTCGTCTATTTATTTAATTTTAGCATTCAGTATTCGTTCGTGAAGTATTTTGCATTTATTTAGTGGGTGTTTGGTGAAGATTAAAATTAAATTTTTAGTAGATTATGATAAAAGTTTTTGAAATGTGTGGTTGAAAATTTGTGAGGCCCATGAAAGATGTGATTAATGTTGATTATTTGATTCGAAACAAACATGATCTTAACAATACACTGTACGTGTTTAGATAAGATTATTGTTTTAAAATAACGACGAGAAAAAGAATGAACATGCTCATTGAATCAAAATTTCTTGATGTAAATAAATAAATAATTTTATTTTTAAAATGTTTATACTTTCAGATGAAGTGAACAACTATAATACGTCGACAAGAAATTGGTGCATCTAATTTAATCACTACCAAAAAGACAAGCACGCTTCTGTACGCGATTGGGTGGCATTTCGTTTTCTCCTTTGCTTACTACGATGTCATTTCTAGGAGGCAACATGATTGTGATGATGCTTTTGTAGTCTAGTAATATACTCCAAAAAGCTAAGATTTTTACTGTATCTACATCATTCTTTACACTTTATTACATGATAACACACTATTGGACAGTTTGAAAAAATAAACAATTTTTCCTCTAATCTTTTTTTAACAACACATCAAATGTCAAATTAAATGTACATCTAACATATTTGCTTTTGCAATTAGGAAACTCGCATTTCATTCGTTACATTAAATAATATCTTTATATTAATATTTTCAATTACAACGTTTCGCGTCAGTATTTAGAATTTTAAGATTATACTTCGAAATTGAGATTGAAGTTCAATGAGGTTCTCATGGTTCCAACCACATATACGCGTAATGGACCACCATATTAACATTTTCAATATATTTTTTGCTAAAAGTTATGCGTGTTGAAATTAAAAGAATAGAAGATATTTGGCTAAAATGTTTTGTGAGTCGGAAGAATAGACAAGATGACGGACGGTGTGGATACGTTTTGAGAGTTTCTCTGCTTGTACAGATGAAGTTCTGCCGGAATTAATAGATGTTGTTGTGACAGCAACTGTTTGGTCTGCCTTTTTTTTTTGCCAATGTTTAACCAAAAACTATCAAGTGTCTTCTGCATTAATTCTGACAGCATATTTTCTGTACAAATAGCATATCTCTAATTTTGATACGAGTTTTGTAGACTAGATGGTATAGACTTTTTTTTTTTTTTACAACATTCAAGATGAGACCTTCCACTCTTTAATTTATGTAAATTTCAACCACATAATTGGCATGATGATGCATCCACCACCATGAGCTACGATTTTATTCATTTCTGAAATAGGTTTATTGGGCCTTTTTCATTATTTTATTCTAATTTTTGTTATTAGGTGGTCTAATTGTAGTGTTACGCCCATTCGTGCCTACTTAATCAAACTTCTTTTAAATTCCTAGTAGTCAAAAAATTGAATTTACCCATCCAACGGAAGAAACAAAAGGGACAATAAAATAAAAATCAAATCGAACTAATTTAATAGAAATTTGACAAGATTAACCGTCTCGGTTCATACCACGTCGAACACTTGCAGAAACAGAAATGAATGATGCAAACCTAACTCGAGTCAAAAAGTCTGCGCACGCCATTTATAGAACTAGGTACATCTCAATGGAATGAGGAGACGAGTTGAGTTGATGAGCCAAACAGTGTTATAATTAAGCCATTTCCACATGCTAAAAAGTAAAAGTGAAGCTGACGCGTTTGACTTTAATGCCACTTCTTGGGGACAAAAGCTAGTTGGTGGATCAAGACTTGATAGGGAAAGCGCTATTGATCTTTGCAACGAAAGCACCGAAGTATTACGGAGTAATGCATAATGCATATTACGTACGTGACTCGTTTATCACGCTTTTATTTGCAACTTTTTTGGGGAAAGCGCTATTGATCTTTACAACGAAAACGCTGAACTATCACTAAGTAATGCATAATGTATATCACGTATTTGACCCGATGCACTTAAAAAGGACTCCATCAAGATAATATGGCATAGAAAAAATAGATATTTTCTAAAACTGTCTAGATTGAGAAGCACTGTTATACATGCTACCTTAGAACAAGGTACATCTCATACGCAAATTTAAATTTAATTGTGTTATTATTTTAAGAAATAAAATACACCTAAATAGCAATTTATAAAACGCATTGAAAATCAAATTTTAACTTTGACAGTCTACTTATTAATTATTAGATATCAACATCGTTTAGATTAAAAATCTTTCAATATCTGTTTTTCATCTTGACAGAGTCACGATCGGTTTTTATTAGAGCTGTATTCTCTTATTGTTACCAAACAGGCTCTTATTTTAAATTCCTAGTAGCCAAAAAATTGAATTTACCCATCCATCGGAAGAAACAATAGGGACAATAAAATAAAAATCAAATCGAACTAATTTAATAGAAATTTGACAAGATTAACCGTCTCGGTCCATACCATGTCGAACACTTGCAGAAACAGAAATGAATGATGCAAACCTAACTCGAGTCAAAAAGTCTGCGCACGCCATTTATAGAACCAGGTACATCTCAATGGAATGAGGAGACGAGTTGAGTCGATGAGCCAAACAGTGTTAAAATTAAGCCATTTCCACATGCTGAAAATTAAAAGTGAAGCTGACGCGTTTGACTTTAATGCCACTTCTTGGAGACAAAAGCTAGTTGGTGGATCAAGACTTGATAGGGAAAGCGCTATTGATCTTTCCAACGAAAGCACCAAAGTGACCGAACTATTACTGAGTAATGCATAATGCATATTACGTATGTGACTCGTTTATCACGCTTTTATTTGCAACTTTTTTGGGGAAAGCGCTATTGATCTTTACAACGAAAATGCTGAACTATTACTAAGTAATGCATAATGTCTATCACGTATTTGACCCGATTATCATGCTCTTACTTGCAACTTTTTTGGCCGGAGACGAAAACATATCTAACTTTTAACTTAATCAACGCAATTGGTTATTTCGAATTATTTCCACCCATTTGGCGTATGAGAAGCTCTGTTATACATGCTACCTTAGAAAAATGTACAACTCATACGCAAATTTAAATTTAATCGCGTTATTATTTTAAGAAATAAAATACACCTAAATATTAATTTATAAAATGCATTGAAAATCAAATTTTAACTTTGACGGTCTACTTATTAATTATTAGATATCAACATCGTTTAGATTAAAAATCTTTCAATATCTGTTTTTCATCTTGACAGAGTCACGATCAGTTTTTATTAGAGCTGTATTCTCTTAAATACCTTATATTTTAATTACATTGGTTGATATAGTGAGTTATCATTTTTTTTCATATATATATATATATATATATATAATTTGACCTTTTTAATGAGCAAATGTATGGAAACCATACGAAATGACCAATTCTGCTCATTAAGCGAGATGCCGGGGATATTTAGTCCAAGATTTGAAGGTTAAGGATCATTTGCATCAATTTCCCAAAACTATTTAATTTAGGGTTCGCAAGTGAAAAATTGGTGGAAAAAAATGTTTTACAGGGAATTGAATTGTCTAAAAATTGTTTTACTGAGAATTGTAATTAATTATATTTGATTAGTATAATTTTTCACTAGAAAAATGTCTAAAGTTTGGTTCCGTTTGGCTTCGTTTTTTATGAAAACTATCTATTAAAGTGATAATTTTTTCTATTATTGAGTTTAGAATTTGTTCCAATTGTCAAAAAAAAAAAAAAAAATTGGGAAAAAAATTACCATACTGACTACTATTCGTTGATTTTGTTTTGCATGAAAATTGTCAATAAAAGTGATAAATTTTTTTACCATTGTGTCTAAAAAAATTTTCAATTGCAATAAAAAAAATTGGAAAATCAAAACCAATCAAAACAACAAGAATAAATTTTCCTCAAAAAGCTGGAAAATAAGGAAATGTGGAAAAAAAATTCCTAGAAACTTTTGCTGTCAAACAGTTGCAAAATTTGAAAAAAATTTCTTAGAAAATCATGTCTATCAAACAGGGCCCTACTGTTATACTTCGTTTTCCGTCAAGATTGGAAGGTTAAAGATCATTCGCACCAATTTCCCAAAATTATATAATTCACTATTATACTTGATTTTTCCCAGTGATAACAAGATGTGTGTCGGAACCATTTTTTTCCAATTTGGGCCCAGAGTATGCAAATGTCAGTGTGATGGAACCCCCTTTTTTTTTTTTTTCCAATCTGGACCGCGTTATTTTTATGGTCATTGCTTTGGTAACTGGCCAAAATAACAATTTTATTTTTCACACATACCTTAAACTACACTGCACCACACAAAAGAACATCAACCTCGGCTACACTTATGGTG